GGGGCTGAATAATTTTGCATGCCCAATTTTTCAGTTTTTTATTTGTTAAAAAAGTTTGAAATATCCAATAAATTTCGTTCCACTTCATGATTGTGTCCCACTTGTTGTTGATTCTTCACAAAAAATTACAGTTTTATATCTTTATGTTTGAAGCCTGAAATGTGGCAAAAGGTCGCAAAGTTCAAGGGGGCCGAATACTTTCGCAAGGCACTGTATATCCCCCCCAGCATCCCTGGCCAACAAAATATCATTATTAATTTTTAATAATGCTGACTCAGTGCTGTGTTTTGATTGAAACCCAGACTGAAATTGCTCCTCAATGCTGTTGTCTGCCAGAAAAAAACTGGAGTTGAATAAGAACAAGCTTCTTTAAAACTTTCAAAATAAAAAATAATTTAGACACTGGTCTAAAGTTAGAAAACACTGAAGGATCTAGATTCGGCTTCTTAAGAAGTGGCTGGACAATTTCTTTTTTTAAAACATCTAGAAATGAGCCCAACTGAGCCTGTAGTCAAGCAAAAATTAATTAGAGCCAGAAACCTAGCACCTATAGACTCAAAAATATACTTGAATAATCTTGTTGGCAGGCAATCCACTAAGATATCCCAGCTCTTCAACCTGCTGCTCAGTGAAACTGATGAACACAATCATTCCATAATGCAAGAAAAAAAATTCATGAGTTGTGTATGGCCTGTGTGTTTCATCACCCTCTTGTGCAAGCGGCTTGGATGGTAAATGAGTGAGGCAGCAGCAGTGCGTCAAATTCAGGCAGACTTTAATTCAGTTTCATTACTGCTGCAGTTGTGAATCTGCCAGTTGAAACTACTCCTGCTCCAGAGAGCGTTATGGATGGCACCGCCAAGGCCTTCTCTGTGTGTGTGTGTCCATACATGTGTGAGAAAGAGAGAGGTTTTGGGTAGGTGTCTGTAATGGAGTCACTATCGCGCTAATGGTCCATGGCAAAGGGAAACAAAGTTTATCCTTCTTCCATTTACGTTCAGCTTTACAACATCTTTGTCTATGTTCCCAAGTTAAGTTATTTAGCCAAGGTTCCACCTTCAGCTTAGCCGGTCTACATCAGAGGGGAGCAATGGAATCCAGTATATCCTGACAGGTGGAGGTTAATAGACTTAATACTTCCTCAGGATCCATGTAGGAGGACACATCCCCCATCAGATACAGACCAGAATTTTTAAAGCAAGTAGAAAATTCTCCTGCTGTTGAAGAGGTGATTGTAAGTCTGGTACAAGCAGGAATAGGCTTGTTAAACACCGGCACATTAACATTAAATAGCGCAGAAATATGATCGGAGAATCGAGAGTTGCATACTTCAATAATAAAAACAGGCAGCCCATGAGAGATCACAAGGTCCAGTGTGTGTCCAGCTATGCACCGACTGAGTGAGATTAAAAGAGTCAATAATATTTAAAAAGTCTTTAGACAAAGGGTCAGCTGGGCAACATATATGAATGTTAAAATCACCAAGGATTAAAAGCCTATCAAACTATGGCAAAATAAAACCCAAGAGATCAGAGAACTCATCCTCCACCTAAGAAGTCTTCAATATTTAATTTATTAAAGAATCCCCAAATCTAATTTTAACTCATCTAAGAATAATGAGCTAATGATGGGAGATAATTAATATTGTTTCCAATTATCAATTTAAAAAATATTGTGTATGTATGTTTTGAAGTCTCCTTCTTTTTTTGCCATTTCACTATTGCCTGATACCAGTGGAATTTAAGGTGAGTCACTTGAATGAAACAGTAACACAATGTGTAAACCATGGTCCCTTGATTATGAGCACAGTGTCTGTTTTACAATAAATGTAACATGGGCTCGCTTTCAGAGCAGGGTTGTATCTGACACTAAGGACACTGAGGCCATGTCCTGAGTTTTATCTTTGGAAAAATTGGGGTTGTAATGAAGTGAGGACAAGTTAGGGATGCAAGTAATTTTTTCCTACTCTTAAGTATTCTGCTGAATAGTTTTTCAAATAATCAAATGTTTGTTTGGCCTAATAGATATCAGTGTAAATAAAGGAAAATGCCTCACAATTTCCCAGCAAGGACAGATTTAAAATATTTTGGATGAGGTGGCCAGGTGGGAGCACAGACTCCTGGTCGGCGACATCGCTTGCGCACTGGAAAGTCAAAAATGTAATATATTCACATAATGAAACTGTACAGTGTTTAGTTGGTGTGTAAAATTTCTTAGATCTCGTGGGTCAGCAAATGGGATTTGTGTCCAGGACCTCGGTGGTATTCTCCACATTCTGTCTACGGTCCGATGGTGCGAGGTTTCTTTTGTTCTCTTTCTCTCTTTAGGACCCTGTAGCACCTGCTGATCCCTCGGAGCCTTGACGTCAGCGCTGTATACGGTGGAGATCTCCAG